CAGGCCACTAGGGTGCATTGCTGTTGAAGCATTTTGCTAACTTCTATTTTCTCCAAAGCTTTAATTTTCTAGTAGAAATAAGCTAAATGGTGCCCTAGTGGTCTCAACGACATGTGATTCCCTCAGGGCCTTACTTATGATTTGGGAGTAACTTAGACATTACAGGCAATAAGACTAGTTTGTTTTTTAGTATTTTAAAATTCATGTGATGTACTTTGTAACATTTACTTTAAAGCAAACCCACTGAAAAAGTGAGGGGAAATGCATCCATCATTGTTGCAATTTTATTGTCTCTTCTCAATCCGTTTCTACCCTCTGCTAACTGGCTGTGTGGGTTGAGAGGCGCTTGTGAAGGGTGAAGGTGCCGTTGATGAATGAGTCTTCTTGCTCTTGTCACTACATTGCCAATCCCATAATCATCCAGTGTCTCATTCTAGACAGCAGCACAGCAACCGGGTTTTAGAGCCTTTTGGAACATTGAACCTCTGATATGTTTTTCTTTATACTCTTTCCGTTGATGGTGCTGATGCTGGCTAACGTCTTTTTTCTCCCCCAAGACCATATGTTCTGATAGTTTGATATTTGAGCACTTAATTATGAGATAATACTAGGCTTGGAGTGAAAAGGATTCTCAGAGATGAATTGATCCAATCTGTACCAATTGCCAGGAAATGTAAATACTTATTGATAAATACCTGTGACAACTGCCAGGAAATGTAAATACTAAGAAGTGTAGCACTATGACCTAGTGCCACACTAGAAATTATGTTCAATTTCTTCTGCAACTCTATGTATGTAGGTGTGCAAATATATATTACCAGACACATTCTTTCAATTGGATTGGTTTGTTTGTTAATGGAAAATATGAAGATTTATGTGCTATTTTTCCAGGGACTATGTGGCTTTCTACTTCACATAATTAGAATATCTCTGCCTCAGCATTATTCTAAACTGAAATTAAGTGTTGTGGTCCAGCAGATAAATATTCTCTCTGCTTGGGAGGTGCTTAGTAAGTAGTTAATTGACAAACTTGGTCGAATGGACAAAACTACCCAGTTCTGGAGACAAAAAGCATAAAAGAGTTCACTTCATCATTTGTGGCACTGAGCTCTCTACTAGGGAGCCAATGGCTGCTAATAATCTAGGAAAACATTTATGAAATGTAAGAACTATTTTCAGTATTTTATAGAGTCATGTCAATTAGCTCGTAGAGCGACCATGTCATTAAATAAGAAAGTTGAATACCAATTGTATTGCCGTTTGGTATTTGTATTATATTGGTTGCTAGATTTTGTGTTTTAGATTAGTTAAAATAAAAATGAATGTTAATTAATGCAGTTCATTTGACAGTCACATTTTTCAAACTTTGTGGTCCCTGAGGGAAAGTTAATAAAAAAAGGGTCTGTGATGTTAAATATGTATATGTTATAAATCAAGTCCTAAAGTGTAAGAGCAGCATAGAAATGTTATCCAAGGTTCAGTGTGAAGAATGAAAAGGATGAATTCATGTCCACTTAGATTTACCCTCTTTGTCCAAAATATCATTTCAACAACTTCTTCTGAATTGGAGGATGTTGTATGTGGGGAGCTATATGTGGATTAGAAAAAACAAACAAATGGGGTTGTGAAAGAGCTGAGGGGAGTGTGTAATTACCCAACTACAGCAGAAATTATTTCCAGCTAAGTAAACTCAGACAGAATATATATAGAAGTAAAGTACATTTCTAAATTTGAGCAAATCCCAAGAGCTTTCTCTGTTAATCATTCAAAAACATAACTCACACAACGTAAGGTTCAAGGAGTTTGCTAGCTAGAACCATTCTCTTGCCTCTCCTTGCATTTAGTAGAGTCCATTTGTACTTAGCAGATGCCCAGTCTCAGCATGCAATGCCTGTGTGCTCAGGTCTATTGTGACATGCTAAGAATAAAAGAGTGAATTGATTCTCAGGATCTGGGATGGTTCGTCTATAGCAAACGGACCTCTGCCAAAGAAAGTCAAAGCTCTATACAGACCAGTCCTGTATGCTTCATTAACAGAAAATCTTTAACCAGATATTTTATGAGCTAATAAAATATGCATCTGGATACTTCTTTGTAACCTCCAAAGTAATGTGGATACGGAGGACACTACGTAATTCTTGGTTTGAGATTTTCTTCTCATTTGGTGGAGACATCATCTGGCAAGCTATGTAACTAACATGAGCATTGAACTAAAGCTATTTCTTTCTTTCTTTCTTTTTTTTTTTTTTTTTGAAAACTGCTCCTTTAGTTTTTGAGTTACTGAAAGACATAAAAATATCAGTAAGAATGTGCTCCACAGATCATGTGGTTTCTTTAGGCCAATGTTTAAAGGGAAGCACTCAGTTGAGGGTCCTCATGAATTAGAGAGAAAAGTATGGGTGTCCCTAGAGCAGTGTCCTGAATCATTGCATATCGTTAGCTACTAAGAACAGGTTGGGGATGAGTCTGTCAGAGACGGAAAATGCGTTTGACACATCTTGTCAGCATCATATGCCAAGGAATGATCAAATGTTTCCTATATTTTGCTTTTTGTTGATTACACTTTTTGAGTATATTTTAGCAAGAATATTTGCAAGATATGGCAAGTAGTGACAAAGGGCCCTTTGTGGTTTAGCGTAATAGAGTATACCATATACGAGGCAAGCTGAAATGTGCCTCAGAGTCATAATGGGTACAACTTGTGGCAGCCATGGTTAGCAGAGATATTCCATTGCCCAAACATACCACCTCTAGATGAACGACCTCACACAACCCACTGGCACCCAGCATGTGGAAAGCTATTTCTTGATGAGAAAAGAAAAAAATACAACAGCAGAATTTCTTTATGTCAGTAATGTTTACCTAGTGTACATTGACCATAAACTTCAGAACTAGATTTATAAAAGCAGAGCATATGAAAGAGGTATTTAAGTGCCATGTCAAATAAATAACTTTTACCTTGCTTAGTCTTAATCACATTTATATTATTTTTGACTTAAAGATTATGTGGCTAAAAGAATGTATTTTTTCCTCCAAGTAAACCAGATCATTCCCTGCCACTTGAAATAGCTAATACTCTGCTGAAAAGTTTAGAAATTATTCCTACGACTCCTTACAGAATTGATTTATCAGCAAATATTTATTGAGTAATTTTTCTTTGCCAGATAGTTTAGTAAGCATTGGGAGATACAGAATGTAGAGTGAACATAATAAATACTACTTTTGTCCTCATGGAAGGAAAGTCTAGTAAGAGACATTCAATTACACTTGCAATGATAACAAAACAGTCCAATAATTAGTGAAATATCAGGGATTGTGAGTACCTAGCAGGACATGCAAGCTAGTCTAGGAAGGCAATGAAGGATTCTGGCAAGATATAACGTTTAAGCTGAGACTTGAAGAATGACTAGGAGTCGATCACATGTGGCAGCTGAAAATGTTTTGACAGAGAAAGTACATGGGGGAAAGAGTGTTGCAGGAGCAGGAACAAACAGCATCTCATAACAGTCCCGTGGCAAGAGAGCAAGGCACACATGGCAGGAACTTAGTGTGTGAAGGAAGAAGTGGCAAAATCTAGGACTGGAGAAGTAGGGAGGGCCACACATGAAGGGCCTCAATAGCCATGGACCGACCATATCCTATGACACAAGAAATTCATAGGAGATTTTGAGCAGAGCAAAATAATTTCAGATTTATACTGCAGAAAAATCCCTTTGGCAATAATGTGGACAATGGGTTGGAGGGAAGCAAGAGCTACAGTCATGGAATCTGTATAATTGATGGTTAGGAGACCAGGTATAGATGAAAAGGTGTAGACCTTGCCTGATGAGGAGTAAGGAGCTGAGAGTCCTGCCCATGTGTTGCCTTCAGGTGAACTTTGTTTCCTTCTGTTTAATTTTGTTAAATTCTCTTGGAAATCCTGCAATGACTACAGTGGAGCCTTAGATGTGGTTATTTCCCACATTGCCTTGAGGCTGTGATAACTGAATGCAACATTTTGTATTTTGGGCTCTCTTTTTAACATTTGAAGCATATTTGTAAAATAATCTTTAAATTGTTTTGTAAGCCATTCAAATTTTATTTTAAATGTTCACATTTATTCACTGGTTTTCTTTATTAGAAATTGATGAATTTTTTTTTTCCAAATGCTGCTCTTTGCAGTTTGTTTCCCATTCCAGAAAATCATTTCTTTACCTTGAAAGAATACTTGTCTATGGTTATTGAGTTGCCCTCCCAGTCACGGCACCTCATGTCAACAACTGAAGGATTACTTTTAAATGGACATCCAACCCCTTTTTACCCAATTCATGGCTACTTGCTTATTTTGCATTTAAGTTGCATACTACTCCCATGGTGACTTTAATTGAATAACTAGTTCATGGATGCGATGGAAGAGTTTGTAAACTCAGACCAAATTGAACCATACCTTTTAGGAGGCAAGAAATAGAATCCATAACCCATGTCACATGCTTGACCCCTTGCACAGTGGTGACTATCTGTTTAAGTAAGTGCCCCATTTTATTTTTTGAGTAGATCAGAGCAGTTGATGGCAATTCTACATAGTGGGGAAATTGTTTTGGTTTGTTTTAATCATTGCTGTTTCACATTTCGTCCCTGGGTAACCTCCTTTTCCCTAGCCTCTAACTTTCTCCACTACCAAAAATGCTTCCCCTCTCCCCTAGCCAAGCAATAATTGGCCCTCACATATTTAAAAATAAAATTTATTTTCACTAGCATAGTCAATGGAGTCGGTTGTATTTACCAGACTACTAATTTCAAGCTACCAAATGGTAACACAGTGATCTAAAAATCAGGAAACTGTTAATCAAGCACTGAGTGCCCAAATATGCTTAAGTCATTAAGGAAAACTTACACTCAGAAAACGGGCACTGTTTTCCTGATAATTAGGTACTTTAGGACTATTTCCAAAACGCGAGAATTCAATTTTCATTGAAACTACTTAAAAATACAACTTAGACAAATGAAAATTTTCTACTCACTTAGCTTTTTCATGCAGTCACGAAGCCTGGTTTCCAAGCTCAGCACCCTTTGATGCAGTTCCTCATAGTCATAGGCACCGATTTCTTCCTGAATCCCAGTGAGGACGGCTGACAGATTCCGGATTTCCTCCTTGAACTGGGTGATTAACTTGGCGTCTGTTTTGTACTGTTCCAGCACAGGGATCAAGGGCAGGAGCTCGTCCATCTTCTCTTTCAACTCCTGTGAAAAGCAGTCAATCGTTCCTGAGAGTCATTTAAAACAAATTAAGCAGCTATGTTCTTTTTATTATGATACTTAAAAGAGATTATTAGAACAGCTTTGGAATTCCTTATTGATTTTTGGTTGAAATTAGGTGTTTTGTGAAAATAGAAGTGGCCACATGATCATTAGTAGTAAAACCACTTATTTCAGCTTTTCCATACAAGAATCTCTCTTTAAATGGTTACAGGCTTTTTTAATAAAACAAATTGGTCTTTAACATAATTAGAAAAACTTCCTATGGTATTAATTTTGGGTATTGTCTTACTTTCTGGTAGCATTTCATCAAGTGAACAACAATGCATTATTTAGTTAGGAAATATAAGCAGGGTTCATCTTCTAATTATGAGTTAAGTTTGAATACAGTGATTGAAAAGAGGTCAAATACCCTATGATTGTTTAGTTAACTCTAATTACCCACCTACCGAATGTCCATGTTATAGGGGTGCATTCAGGAAATTTCAGAGTCTGATCAGCTTTTTCCTAACACTCGAAATTTTTCCAATCATGGCCATCCACCACTTTGTTTTTCCATTGTGCTCAGGTATTCCCAGCTCTTTTTAATATCCATCTTAGCACTACTTCATTAGCAAAGTAACTTCAGTAAGTATAATAAATCATGCAAAGCTTCCCAAAGCTCAAAGAAATGCATGTTGATGTTTACCGTTTTGAATTATTAGCTGTTCTCTGACTCCATTTGTTTCAGCATAGATAATTTAGAGGTCATTATGTAAGGCAGAATTGCTTACTCGTATAGTGAATTAACTCTTTAAGAAGCCAATGTGCATAGCTTATGTAACAGATGAGCCGGTTGCACAGTTGTTTGAAACTGAAATGTTGATTTTAGTCAGGAGAATAAGAAGTGAATGTTGTCAAGCAGTGTTCCTTATTCCTACTCATCGCAGGACTTAGCCGCACCTGTGGTTTCACCTGCACTTTCTAGATGTGCCACCTTTACTTCTTTCCCTCTAACTTAGTGGTAGTGGCCAACAAAGATATTCCAGGAGTTTGATTCAATTGTGAATTTATTGCAGATGATATCATTTGTGGAAAGAGCTGTTCCTCTCATGATTATTTGAGAATAATCCATATGTGTTGTCAGAAACCATGTTGTACACTAAGGAGCTGAAAGTTGCATTTTTATATTACATTCAGAAGATGTTGTTATTATAAATGCATTAAAATAGCAGGAGCTTTCATTGCTGTCCTTATTAATAGGCTTGTTTTCATGCGGGGAAATTTCTACTTGTACTGTGAATTCAGAAATCTTTGAATTTGTCCTCATGGGCATGTAGGGTGGGAAGCTACAGAGAGTCTTAATAATGAGAAACATTCATAAATAAGTATCACAGTCAAAAAGTAGAATTTCAGAGCTTTGCTCATTTTGGGGGGCTTATTTTGAAACAAATGTATTAGTTTGAGCATCTTTTGGTATCCCTAAAGGAAGACAAAATTGTTTCATTAGAGTTTTAACTTCAGAGTTTTAAGAAAAGTTCAGTTAGTATCATTTGCTACATATTAATATTATATCAAATGTAACAATGAGAGGTTTTACATTCTACTATGGGCATATTTAAAAGAGAACAATGCAATGTCAAAATTTTGGTAGTTTTTTTTCTGCTCAATTAAAAATTAGTTTTTTTAAAATCTTTTCAACAATTCATTATTTATTATTGGCAATCAATTTTGAAACTCTAGAAACTTCTCAGCAGTAGAAAGTCCAACCAATGAGCAGATCAAAATACTGTCCGTCTGTATCAGGCAGCCTCAGCTCCTCTCCTCCTCTGCCTGCTCCTTCTGGGAACGCTTTCCCTGCACCTGAAGTACCAGCTCACTACATCCTACTGTGTTGATGACCGGGCATTGGGTTCACATTATTGCTTTACCATCCACCCTAGCCCCAAGCACTGAAAATTGATATTGAAAATCTTTTGGTTACCTTGATTACCCCCCAGCCCCACCTGTAATTCAGTGCTGGGGAGGGTACTAGTCCAAAACTGCTTTCTTAAATATTGCTGAATCTCATAACCCTTCCCTTGGTATTTTTTCAACAAATTAATCACTGTTCCCTTTGTGCTCTCTTAAGTAATGCTTATGCCTCTGTTCATCAGCTTCATTTGCCTGTTAGCTGTCTTTCACAGAAGAGATTGCACAGTATGCATCTAGCACTTTGCGCACGGTAGGTGCTCAGTAAATGCCGGTTAAAATTAATTCTTTCGCTCCTCTGCCTTATATTCTTTTTCGTTTACCGTTTCCCCATAAGGTCTCTATTTATCCAGTTAATTCATCTCCCATTTTCAATATTCTTCAAATCTATTGTCTCTTCTAGGTCTTGTCTAATTGGTTCTAATTTTTCAACCTCCTGGCTTTGGTTACTTCTCTCTTCAACTTAACTCTCATGATTCTTCACTTCTGTCCCCTTTCCTGTCAATACTCTAAACGTTCTTGCCCTTTTTTCCGTCTGTTGTGACCTTCTGGTAAAATTTTAAAACTGGTTAAGTGCTTTACTTGCTTCTAGACCTTGCTGCTAAGTCTCTGGAATGCCACTAAAACAACTACAAAACCATGAAACTTTCTGCCACGTTGAAATGTGTTATGCAGAGACTGTGCTGTGTGTTCCTGGCTAGCCCCCCACCTGTCACCATTATGTGCACAAAGCACTTCTTTCCTTGACCAAGTGTTTGAATTCAGGTCCATTCCCTCAACCTCAGTAGTGAATCTCACTTCCTAATTGGCAAGGAAAACAGAGGCTAAGTGGGCAACCACAATGTGTTTTATAAATTGTGTGCTGTGCCTTTGAAACGCAGATAACTTATTTTTAGCAGAGGCTTTGCATTATCAGCCCAAGATTTTTTCTTAAAATTCAAAACTCTTTCATACATCGTTAATAAAAGTCAACATAGCATGCTTTTCCCCTCCATTTTCAGTGTTTCTAGATAATTGCCCATGAAACACATAAACTCTAGAAAAAGATTTTATTTGTATAAAATTACGAAGCAACTCTCTTTACATGCTCTTATTAGTGGTATTTTTGCCTCTTTTAAAAATTCATATCCTCTAAATTTCTCCTCACATTAGCAAGGCATAAAATCATCAGAGAAACTTTGATAATTTAATTATTAATTTTCTTCAGGAGTTCCCTTTGTCTTAGACACTGAAGTACCTGTAAAACTACCCTAAAATTCTACCTAGTCCTAGGAGGATGAGACTCTTTTTATAGGAAGGCTTCCATGCATTCCTGCCAGCTAATGATCAGTTTCAGTGGAGAGATGATTAAATCCCCCACGAGTCTTTAACCTTGCACATATGGGCCAATGCACAGCTATTTCTAGCTGAGTGCCCTGCTGGCTGTCCATCGCACTCAGTGTCTTATTTGGATTGACAAAATTGCAGAAGTCAGACCTACTTGAAAATGTTTGGTCATTAGCGTCTTCCGATCATCTTCAATCTGCCGAAACTTGGCCTTCAGCCCTTTCATTTGTGTTTCCATTTTTAAAACATATTGGAAATCTCTCTGAGTTCTCAAGTTTAAGACTTCAATAGACTGGGACATGTTCTGAACCTGTTAAACAAGAATATTGGCTGTACATTATTGTCTGTTTACGGCCATATGCAATCAGTACAGAAGTAGCAAAAATAGCATTAACATAAAGAACCGGAAGTGAAAATCCAAAATTTCATTCATGCACAGCACATTTTCAAGAGAACAATTCTTCATGATGAACACTTAAAGAATTCAGCAAGTGAAAATTATACCTGGGCAGGAAATAAAAAATGGTCCTTCTAGCATTAAAAATGACTGAATACAAATGAGTTTGATGCATTAGAAAAATAAATTTTATAAATAAAATTTTCATTTCAAGGCTTTGTAAGCTTATAACACTCCATGCTGTAAAATGTCAAAAGAAGTTGCTTCTGTAAGTACTGACTCTGACTTCTTAAAGATCTGGGATGCTTAGCAATTGTGGATAGTAGTGAAGTGTCCAATAGACCTGGAATGCATTCACTCCAGTACAGTGACTTCGTGATGAGTCTGAAGTACTCCCAGGGTGAGACTGAATTGACCAAGGTAAGTGGTGGCAGTGCTGGAACACCTCCTAAATTGGACAGCCTACTGTTTAAGGGACCTGGAAAAGGGCAACGGTGCCAAATGCCTGGTAGATAGGCCACAAACACATGTTAAGTTGATGGCACTATCCCAGGTTCATTGAACCCTGGGCTATTTAGAAGTTGAAAAGAGGTTACCCTACAAAGCATGCAAAAACAAGAGGAAAAAAAGGCTGCTTTAATTTTTGTGGCAGCAAAAATCTGAAAACAAAGTAAAAGCTTCTAATAATGGGGAAGCTGTGAAATGAATTGAGGGATGGAATATGAATGGACCGTTATAAAGAATAAGATAGATCTCTGTATCATTGGTACTCAAAGTATTGTCTTTAAGCAATACCTTGGCATCACCTTGGAGCTTGTCAGAAATGCACAGTCTCAGGACCCACCCAGAGCTACTGAATCAAAATCTGCATTTTATCAAGATCCTCAAGATTCCTATGTCTATTAAAGTTTGAGAAGCACTGTTCAACATGGAAAGATTTCCATGAGAAAAGCAAACATAAAGATCTTTATATAATTTGATCCTTTTATTCTAAATCAAATACACACACAGTCACACACATATAAAAGAATATGGAGTATATAAGCAAAAAATCATGAAGAAAGCTACGGAAGGATCAGAGGAATACGTATTAGGTTGTTAATATTAGTTTTCTGGGGGGAGGTAAGAAATAAATATTACAGAAAAAGATCCCTGGATATATGTATATATACATAGTATATGTATAAATCTATTTGCATAGAATTACATATTTTATTTGCATAAATGAATATGTGACAGCATGAACACAAAAATCATGGTGGAATTTCAGGTTTTACTATGTGTCATATATTTTAATGTTATTCTATTTATTTTTTAATGAACATATTTATGTAATGAGTAAAAAGTTATATTCATTGAAAAAACTGTGAATTACAAAGGGATGATTTGTTCAGAGACAAGTTTTTGTCATCAGGTAAAGTTACAAAACTTAGTGGACCAGCAGCTGTAAAGAACCCATGGTTGATACATTCTTTAGAACAGTAACATTTAGCAAAGGTAGGTGCCTCAGCCTGCTTAAGTTCTTCTACTCTTTTTGCCAGACAAGATCAATTTCCCTTTTTCTTTTTCCTCGGCTGTCATGATTCATAGTCCTGCTCTACATGAATCCCATCTTTTTGGGACATATCACAGTCTGGCTTATCTTAAAACTAACCGTGTAATTAGGGTTTGAGGTAGGAGCAGGGAAGTGGTTCTCCCTCCGTAAGCTCCATGGGGTTAGAAGCTGTGTAGCTGTGTCTTACTCATACCTTTTATTTTCAAGACCATACACAGAACCAGGCACAGAATAAGCACTCAATAAATATTTTTATTGAGTAAAATTATCTTGGGTTTCTAATAGTATAGTGAGTAAACAGAACTTTAATATTTTACAAAGAATTTCCCCCTCCTGTTACTAGTTAGTCTATAGCATATATGACTATCAAATGTGTTTAATTTGCTATAATTCTCATATTCAGAAAGCTTCCTTTTTTTAATCTTTAGTGCAGCCCAAAATTACTGAGACAACATTGAAAGCATGATAACTCCATCATAGATAAATGCAATGCTTTCAAAATAACTTTCTAATTTCATTTATGGTTAAGCATGAATAAAGAAAAGCCATTTGTGTTAAGGAAACCATCTACCCATTTAAACATGGCATTTGTGTGTGAAGACACCCATCATTAGCATGGGCAACAGCCTCCTAATAATTCCATGTACGTAGGCAGAGTTCATATATTAGAAAATGATGGGTGAGAGAAGGTATTCTGGATAAAGTTAAAACAGCCTCTCTTTTATTTTTGCCTCTGACTCACCTTACCAAGATAATTTTCAACTTCATTTGTGTTGTGGGAAAATGCACTGAGAGAATTTTTGCTGAGACTTGATTGTGAGCTTCCATATTACAGGATCATGTGTAACTGTCAGAGTTACATTTGGGGTAGTGGCCAGAGATAGAGCTAATTGGAAAGAGTCTGGCTCCGGGTTGTCTTAAGCTTTTCCTGTTGGCTGTGGCTAGGATTGTTTAGTTTCCCACTGGTTATGGAGACCCACTGAGCAACAGTTTCCTGATGATACGTGAGACTGGATACCCGTAGTTACACTTGTAGAAGGAGACTTGTCATCTGCGCTTTCCCTTCTGATCTACTTGTCTCAGATGTTGCCCTGCAATTCAGCTTGCCATCCCTGTCCCTGTGCTTAGACCTCCTGCGCAGTTCGGCAAACTTAACCCCTTCACTGATCATTCTTTAGAACTCTTCATTTATCCTAGTTCTTTGTATAAATAAAATATCTGAGGCCTTTCTGAACTTAAACGCAAATTAATTTAGATTTTCACTCTCATTCATAATTAGTGTGGAGGATACTTGAAAAAAAGCTTCTATGGTTAATATGTTTAGATAGCCTTGTGTTTAACAAAAATAAACAGAGATTTCTTGACTGTGGGAGTCCACAGAAACCTTAGCATTAAATTGTGTGTTAAAAATTTTCAAGAGTGAAGTATCATGTATGGTGTTTCTTTTAAACTTGTTTTATTGGAGAGGATGTTCCCAGTTTGTATTCCAAAAATCATACTTTAGCAAATATTCACCGAGACAATGAAGGACATCTTCAACTGTACAGAGAAGTTATATAGTTAACAGATATCTTTTTAGGTGAACAATTTTAGTTTTGGCATACTAAGACCTGAAATACTGTGAAAACAATTGTATTTTTTCTAATATTCAATAATGTAAATACTCGTGAAGAGTTTTGTACAGAGCATCACTTACATAAATGTGGATACCACCAGTGGCATTTTGTATGACACTGGTATGATGTCGAGAAAATGCAAACTGATCTGATATAGCCCACAACTTACTGGTTGAGTGACGTTAGAAAATTTTTAACCTCAAAAAGCACCAGTGTCCTTTTATGTAAACTTAAATAACTATGTCTTCTGTAAGGAATGATTGGAATAGGTAAAAATATAATATAAAATATAATAATGGAAATTATTATTATTAATGTTATTTTTATTAATATTTCCTTATATATGAATAAATCAATTCTTTGGTTAATAGTGAATGGGCTGTTTAAAAGTCACACCCCTGCTTGCCCTTTGGTACCTTGGATATAGGTGGAACTATAGAGAAGTCAGCAAGGGCCTGGCTCAGTCTCAAATAGAATGCTTGTTTCAGATGTCTTTTCTTTGGATCAGTGTAGCAAACCAGTGCTACTTACCTCCTTCAGGCCACCATAAAATAGCTCACCCAATTCACCATTCCTCTGTTCGCATAAAACTATCATACGGTAAATTTAATAAATCTAACTTGTGGTGACCTCAGTTTTATTGATAAATTTTGTTTTTTGTCATTTAAGTATTAATAAATTTTTAATGGTGTGATTTTCTAGAATGTCTGCAAACATTCAGACAAATTACATATTGGATGGAGTGGTCATATTAATTTCTATGATTGCTTTCAACTAACCTCCTGTTTGTA